CTTTCTTTCTTTCTTTCTTTCTTTCTTTCTTTCTTTCTTTCTTTCTTTCTTTCCTTCCTTCCTTCCTTCCTTCCTTCCTTCCTTCCTTCCTTCCCTCCCTCCCTCCCTCCCTTTCTTTCTTTCTTTCTTTCTGTCTTTCCCACTGGGCTACCTCGCTTTTCCAAGAAGCACCGTTAACTTTCTCTTTCTTCCAAAGAATTTTTGCTTGCCCAGCAGCAATAAAAATGCCAATCCAGGATGGTTGCTTTTTTTTTTTCCTTCTTCTTATCTTCCCCCTTCTTCTTTTCCTGTGACTGGGATGAATCTGACCTTTGTACTATATTGCACTATATACTCAGGGTTATTGGAATAGGCGAAGAAGAGTTTTCCAGTTTTTTGTGTGTGAGGGGATGATAAAGATGACGCATCAGCTTTTGACCAAGGAGAAATGGAAACTTAAAAAAAGACAGATCCCGTAGTGCAAAATATTTCACGCTGTTTCCACCCCACCTTCCACACACACCCATTTTTATTATTTTTGTAATTTGGACTTGATAAGACACCGTTTTGATATGGTAACGTGATTTGTAGCTGATGAAAAGTTTTACATAGTTGGAATGAACTAGGGTTTCCTGTAACTGGCTTCAAGGGACACGTTGATATTAGATACACACTCAATTTTATATTGATTTTTTTTTTTGCTTTAGAAAAGTTCAAATGGACTGAAGTTTAAAAAATAAAAAATAAAATTTAAGATTGGACGGTGCATTTGTAACATGGCTTATGTTGTTTGCGTGAAGCAGTTTCAGATGGATGTTAAGGTGCTATTGACATGCTCGCCTCGTGCCATGTTTTGAAAAAACTTAAAAGTGTGTTTTTTGGGACTGGATGCTAAACAGGGATAAACCCAGTTAATACAGGTAATCCTCGACTTACGACCATAACTGAAAGCGAGAGAGATAAAAGAGAGAGAGAGAAATAATAATAGATAAGATAGAAAGATGATAGATAGATGATAGATAATACATATATAGATGATAGATAGTGATTGATAGATGGAAGATATAGAAGATAAATAGAAAGATAGAAAAATGATAGATGATAGATAATACATATATAGAGAGAGATGATGGTAGATGATGATGATTGATAGATGGAAGATAGATATAGAACATGAGAGATGCATAGATATAAATATATGGAGAGAAAGAAGTTAATGATTGATAGATGGAAGATATAGATGATAGATACATAAAAAATGATAGATGATAGATTTTATATATCTATATATATATCTAGAGAGAGAGAAAGGATAATGATTGATAGATGGAAGATAGAACGGTAGAGAGAGCCCAAAATTTCAGTTGTTAAGTGAATTTTGCCACGTTTTATGACTTTTCTTGCTACAGTTGTTAAGTGGACCGCTTCAGTTAAGTTAGTACAGCCGTGATGGCAAACCTATGGCATACGTGCCACAGGTATTACTCAGGGCCCTTTCTGCGGGCACACTAGCCATCACCTCAGGTCTGCTCCACCATGCTTGTATGCTTGCTTCCCACCGGGCAGCTCATTTTTGGGTCTAGGCTGCGCATGCGGGAGACACATGTCTGTACGGGGGGGTGTAGGGGAGCATGGGTATGTGTGGCGTGCCCCCCACGCTCTCCGTTTTGGACCTAGTAGGCCTTCCTGCAGCAAAAATTGGCCGCAGGGGAGCTGCGCCACACCCGCTGCCCCGTTTTTGCTTCCAGGTGGCTGCAGGGAGGCCTACTAGGCCCAAAACAGCACAGGGAGGACACGCACGCATGAGGGGGTGGGGAGAGCATGGGGGGGAGATGTGCAGGAGGGTGGGAAGTGCTATTAAAGAGTGGGGTTTGCTTTCAATTGGTGGCTTGCCTTGTCAGTGTTGGTGAGAGAGTCTTTCTTTGGTCAGTTTACTGTTAGCTTGTTTGTCTGAGTTGATACCTTGATTGGGTTATTGTTTCTTTGATTGTTAGTCTGGTGTTAATCTTCAACTTAATCTATGTTCATCAGAGTGCTGAGTGCTGGTGGGGGGGGGTGTTTTGATCCTTTTATTCCCTTATTGGCTTATTGATTATCTCTTTTGTATAGATTAATTCCAGGATTACCATCTGAACAACTGCATCCAGTTTAGTTCACCACATTATAAAAAAGATGTTGAGACTCTAGAAAAAGTGCAGAAAAGAGCAACCAGGATGATTAGGGGACTGGAGGCTAAAACATACAATTAACGGTTGCGGAGCTGGGCTTGGCTAGTCTAGTAAAGAGAAGGACTAGGGGAGACAGGGGAGCAGTCTTCCAATATTTGAGGGGCTGCCACAGAGAGGAGGAGGAGGTCAAGCTATTTTCCAAAGCATCCAAAGGCCAGACAAAGAATAATGATGGAAACTGAACAAGGAGAGATTCAACCTGGAAGTAAGGAGAAGTTTTCTGACAGTGAGAACAATCAACCAATGGAAAAGAAGTTGCCCTCGGAAGTTGTGGGAGCGCCATCACTTGAGACCTTCAAGAGATTGGACTGTCATTTGTCAGAAATGGTATATGGTCTCCCGCTTGGGCAGGGGTTTGGACTAGATCAAGGGTCGCCAACCTTTTGGACCTCAGGGACCACCAAACTCATAATTTAAGATCCCAGGGACCACTTACTGTTTCTGTGGACGTGGCCTAATTTGTGGGTGTGGCTTGGTTATGTGACTGGCTGGGGATGGCTTGTATGTAAATATTACAAATATTTATATAAATGTTGAATTTTTTATAATACTTTTACCCAAAACCAGGCAAAGCAGGCAGGCAGATTGAGTTGCTCATAGAATCACAGATTCATTCAGAGATCGATCTATCTGCCATTGGCTAGCTCACTCTGTCACATAAAATTTGTTTGCAAGCAAACTCACAAAATTAACTCATAATATACCCTGCATGTAAATATTGATTTTTTTTTAAAAAAAGGAGCAACTTTTACCCAAAATCAGGCAAAGCAGGCAGATTAAGTTGCTCACAGAATCATTCAGTGATCTATCTAGCTGCCATCGGCTAGTTCAGTCTCAAATTTGCTTGCCCTGAGTCTGCACTGAATTTGCTTGCAAGCAAACCTTCAGTCCTAAGGGAGGTTCGGCTGTGCTGAGCCGAAGATCTAAAGATTAGCTAGAAAGCAAGAAATCCAACCATTTCCTGCTTCCTAGCTAATCTAAATCTCCCAGCACAGCAGAACAGCTGATGGTCGGAAAAAGGAAAAATAGCAATTTAGCAGGCAAGTTTGCCAGGTAAGGAATGAGTAGGCAGGGAGGGTTCCCGCAGGACATGTGGGCGGTACAGCCTGGTGTTTCTGCGCAGCCTGGATTAATTGCTTTGGGGGGGTGCTCTGGGGGTGAGATTTCTCTGCAGCCCATCAAAATTTTCTCACGGCCCACCGGTTGGCGACCACTGGACTAGATGACCTATAAGGTCCCTTCCAACTCTGATTATCTTTTAATCTGTTAAACAACAATCAAGTAAACAATAATACCCCAATCAAGGAACTGCCAAATTGTAAATAGTCCAACCAAAGGACTTCTAAAACCAGTCCAGAGCAAGCCACTTAGAATATAAACTGAGAGCAAACCCCACTCCTCACTAGCACTGATGTTGATACCTAGTTTGGGTAAGGAGACGTTGGCAAGAAAACAACCAAGTTCAAAAGAGCACCAAGGACCCTCCCGTGTCCATTTTTACCCATTGTTGGATTTAACCAACATATCCACCCAAAATATTCATAGAACACAGTTGCGAATCAACGATCCAGCCTATGACATATAATGTACAGGTCTAAAAACTAGTGCGTGGTAGGGACAAGGACATAAATCGGCAAAGGAATTTTTGCCCTCTGTTTTCAGGGAGCATCTTTTGGTTGAATATGTTTTGCGTCTTTTTTTTTTTTTTTGCATCAGTTCCTGGGAGTGGAATTCACAAAATCAAAGCAGATTTTGATCTCATGGATACATTTGGTTGGCTAAGGTTTAACTGGTTAGTTTCAAACATGATGGAGTTTTATGAACTATTGTTTAACATTATTTTCATTGTTCACTTTGTTGTTAACACTTATCTGAATAGTGTTGAATACCAAAATGATGACATCTACAAATATTTGGTGTGGTGTGGTATTCCAGTTGGGACCAAGACTTTTTCATAGTTCGTCTCTCTAACTTATAGGGGGTTGTCCGAATTGGCGTTTATAATTGTAGAGTCACTACAAACTACTTCATCTATCTTGGCTGAGAAATCAATCAGATACTCAAAATTAAAAGATCTCATAGAATAACAGCTGTAGAAATTTAGCACCCACCCGTCTCCTAGAAAAATGAATTATTCTAGGAATTATTAAAAAGGCAGAATATTATATTTCCCTTGGTGAGAAAAGGAGAAACATGTTTTTAAGGACAAAGAGGAGCTCCCAGCCCCCAGAAGAGTTTTGATGCAGATTAAGATTGGGGCAGCCTACCTACAAGACAATTAGAACTTCAGCTCCAGGGTGATGGGATTAAGAAATGACCTTCAGGACATAATGGGATTAGCCCTCTACCCAGGGGTGGGCTGCTGGGGGCTCATAG